GCAGCCAAAAACTGGAGAACCCGGAGAAAAATCCACATGACCACAGGGGGAACATTCAAACTCCTGCAAACCAAGCGAGGTATTTAACATCTCGCCACCATGGCGCCATGCTGTGGCATGATGGTCATGCTTATAACCTAAACTAAATACTGCTTGATCCAGCTGTAATAGGCAACTCAAAAAATAAATCAATGCTTTCAAGCTATATTAAGTATAATAAAACAAAATGCAACTATGTCTATCAGCAGATAAATTGGTTGACCGAGCAGATGGGCAGACGGAAGTGCTGCATGTAGCGACGAATTACCGCCAACTGTTTGGTATGCACAGCCGAAGGCCACCGCTTAGTCACACATCACGAGGTACCCCAGCAGGGAACCATTTTCAAGATGAGAGAATTGTTATAAAAAAAACTTCTGTATTTCACAGTACAATACAAATTATATACAGTCGTTCATCCATTATCCGGCGGCTTCAGGGGGGAAGGGGGTGTCGGATTTTCAAAAACGCCGGATAATCACATCATGACTTAAAATATCTTATTTTTGCACATTCTTGTATAACATGTTTTTAGGTGTTGTGTACATGTTTTTGTGTTTACTGTATGAAATTCGCATGAATCAACATAAAAATAGACAAAGATAAATATCCTCCTGTAAAAAGTTACAGTACCGTACTTACCACTCCAATGTTTTATCAACATGTGTTTGACGATTTAAAGCTTTCGTGACTGCGGGGATTCATATTCTTGGTTCTTTCTATCGGAAAAACAGCATCCTAGGACGCTGTCTTTCCGACAGCTCTGTTTCTTCACCTGAGGACGGCTGCTTGCGTTGTGGCCGAAACGTCGTGAGAATTTTATTTTATTATGTTTTATTTTTATTAGTTTATTATTTCCCTTCTACGTGACTTTACCGAAAGAACCAAGAATATGTGTTTGACGATCGCTGGACTGATGCAGCCTTTAGACCAGTGCATCGGAGAATGCGGAATTACACGCACTTTTCGCTGGATCGCAGTGAATATTTTATCTTTTTATTACTGTAGGTATTAGTCATGAAAAATGTATATACATGCCGTATCTTCATTGTTTAAGTTCTATGTAGTGTATAATGTACTGTATATCATATTTGACACTGAAATCAAGCACAGCTACTCTTCTTTTGCCACTCGCCGGACTGGTACAGCCTTCAGAGTGGTTTTTACGTTTTTTCCAAATAGGCCCTGGACCACCGGATAATGTTGGAAGCCGGATAACCGCCTGCCGAATAATCGATAATCAACTCTATTGTGATATGTTTAAAAAAATTATAACTGCCACGTGAAACAGCACTAAAATAAATTCAATACTACTTCAAAAAATTAAATGTCAATTGGGAATGGAGAAATAAACGAAGAATAAAATTGTAATGGCCATTGAAGCATTACAGTTTACCTTCACATTGCAAAAGCTTTTGATGTAGTATCATTTGTATTCATGATTTGTGGTTACTTATACTTACAAAATACGACGAATAAATGGATGTGCAAATACGCGTTAATCTCACATTCCATAAGTGTACTAATATTATGATTCTCAATTTTATATCATTATATTCCCACTGATCCGTAGCATGAATGCTCAAGAGAAATGGAATATAAATGCAGAACTTATGGTTTGATGGCACTCAATTAAATTATTCTCATCATCTAATGTTAGGCAATCTTATGTTACAGAAAATATATTTAAAATCAGTTTTGCTCGTAACGTAACATTAATGAAGGCGATACTACCCAGAAAAATATGGGCATGCTAAGGCAAAATTGGGAAATTACTCTATGGCCATCAGGGATGTCTAGCAGTTCACAGACGTCTACTGGACATCTGTGAACTACTGGACATCATCTGTGAACTAGAGCTTCATAGTTTCTGATTCTGCAGATGAGAAACAAAACATCATTGTGTTTTGGGGTGCTCTGGCTTACTATTTCATATCTCATGTGGAAGATATGTGGCATACACTTTATACGATCTACAGCTCTGATGGGTTGGTTGTGATTGTATGCATATGCATGACCACCTGTACACAGGCCTATACACAATTATGTTGTGTAAATAAATATGCTCGTGTATAATCACGTTGTCTGCCAAATACGTATGCCCTGCATTACTCATATCATTAATAAAATACATAAGTCAAGTAAGTCCTTAACATCATGGATGTGCTTTACTGAGTGAGTTCATCTTTCGATTTAAAGCTTTCGTGACTGCAGGGATTCATCTTCTTGGTTCTTTCGGTAAAGCCCCGTAGAATGGAAATAATAAAATAATAAAAATAAAACATAATAAAATTCTCAAGACGTTTCGGCCACAACGCAAGCAGCGAAACGTCGTGAGAATTATTTTATAATAAGAGGGCAGATTTTCCTGATGTTGAATATACAAAAGGGGCAGATGCGATTGGTAGTGGACATATGGGGAGAAAAAGTGAGGGAAGAGTCAAAGGTGACACCGCGGTTGATGGCAGAGGAAACAGAGGTGAGGGAGAAAAGGAAAGGAGATGGTGGAAACGGGAGGGGGGGGGAGCAAGAGGCTGTAAAGAAAATGATGGATGTTTTCGAAGGATTGAGAGAGAGAAAGTGAAGTTCCATCCATTATTCGCTGGCAACCAGACAGGAGAAAATGCGAGACGTACGGTCAGGGGTAAAAGAAGGAAAGGGGAGAAGAAGATTTGGGTCTCGGCAAGGAAATATTGAGGAAAACAGAACAAGTAGATAATAGATTCAGTGAGGGACACAGATCTGACCATCTGCGGAACACCGACACTAAGCTGGGGCGTGGGGGGGGGGGGTGTAGTGATTGAAGGAGACTGAAGATGTGTGAGAAGATGAGGTTTTAGCAAGGAGAGGGAAGTTTGGAGAGCGTGGAAAGAAGAGTGGGGTGATCAAAAGTGTCAAAAGGTGAAGGAAAGGTCAAAGAAGAATGAGAAGAAGGGCAGAAAGACCGGCATGGAAGGAATTGGCCAGATGGTTCTGGCTGGTTCGGTGGAATGAAGTGGACAAAGACCAAATAAAAATTGGGGCTAAAGGGAATGCGAAGAAATGTGGCGTGCGAGCCGATTATGAACAAGGCGTTCCAAAAATGTATAAAACAAAGAAGATCAATTGGACGGTAATTGCCAGGAATGGTGTATGCTGAACTTCTTCTGCACCATACATAGCCAGACGTGTTAATCGGAGGCGAGGGTGAAGGACAGCTCGACACAAATGAAGATGTTGGGGTGAAGGCAGAGGAGGACCAGTGACGAAGAGAGAGTCAAGGAACGGGCATGAGAGAGAGAGAGAGAGCAGAAGGGGTAGACAGAATGTATGACCGAATGAGCAAAACGTTGGAGAAGAAATAGTGGGAGAAAGAAGGCCAGAGCAGAAGAGCATGTGGAAGAGAGTAATGTGTAGGAAGAGGGATGGAGCCAATTGTTTATGGTGGAAAAGAGTGGATGAGGGTGGGGGGCGGCAAGGGAAGTGATGAGGGATATTAAATATGTCTGTTTTGCATGTTCGTGATCTGAAATACATTTAGAAAGAGAAAGGCAATATCTATATATTCACTATGCACAGACCTCTTGTCTGAAGATTCACAGGTGGCAGAGAAAGCTCGATAACAGGAAGCAATATGGATGGATTATTGCCAACGGATGTTAAAACGCCAGATGAAACACTACCTTTAAACATACATGAAGGCTCCTTGAGACTATTGTTTTGGTCTGACTATACAGTGATGAGACATACTTAGTACTTATGCTCTACATGTAAAACAGCTCAATATAACTCAAAGTACAACATTTATCTAAGTCACAGAAGTTAGTCGGGTTAAACGATAACAAATATACTGGACAGCATTTTCACAATCAATGGCCAGTTCCAAGAATCAGGAACTGGTAATAATTTCCAAAGGAATATTAGTAATGAATGCACTGGTTGGCATGCGCAAACATATAAATGGTGCGACAGCCGAAGTCACTATATGGTAGGTTTGCATTTGTTTAATCAGTTAAAAGGTATTCTAGAATATGTCGTGCCTTTTATCACTGGGGACTGAATATTAAAATCAGCACCACTTTCCTCTGAGTTTACTGGTGATCCAGGCAAAGGCACAACGTTTCTGCTTGAGGAATTAAAGGTGGTTTAATCAAGGTGGTTTGAGAGGTTTAAACAACGCAGCAACCTGCACAACATTAGAACGATGGGTGAGGCGGTGAGTGCAGACACAGTGGCAGCCGACAATTTTTCAGACTACAGATGAGTGTTAACCTGACCTTTTCTCTGCTGATAACTAGAGTTAATCACGACAGTGTTATTATTCGTTTTCCCATTAATTGTGATGGGAAATTTCATCTAAACCTAAACCGCCCCTATTTACATTGATTCTTATGTAAAATGTATTTTCTTAATGTTATTTTGCTACAAGTCGTAATTTCTAGGAACGCAACCCCGATGTTAATCGAGGACTGCCTGTATTTAGCCAACTCATCCACGTGGATAAGATTGCATGGAAGATGGATGTGGGCGTAGCCACGTTTTACCCCACCACACGTATCCTGTGCATTGACTAACTGGGGAGATTGAATAAACTTGCACTATTGCTTCAACTGTCATGCCAGAAGATGGAATTAATCCGGTGGCCTCTGGATTGCAAGTCCAACGTGCCAACTATTCCACCACAGCGGCTCCCTTTATTTCTCAATAAAAATGGCAAAACTGGTACGCTTATTGCTGGACATTTCTATTTGTGTTTTTTTTCCCATACAGTGACCGGTAATGCACAGATTACCTCATCCCCCACCCAAAACACATTGAAAAGTAAATTTTTTTCCAACTTGCTAAACCAACATGCTGGCTACACAATCACATTATTCAAACTTTATTAGCAATGAATCCTGGCATATTGTATTTCACTCAACAATTGGTGTGGAAGCTTTAATTAAACAAGAGTAAATAATTGTGCAGAAAGGGAAACTCACCACCACCAAAGGTACGGTCACCCTGGTTCATGTCTCCAGGCCTGTTGTCCCTCCTGGGAAAGACACGGCTGAACGAGCCCTGAGCTGGTACACACACAAACACACAAAAAATATTATTATATACATTGCATTAACGGTGTTACCTTATAACCCTCTTCTTTGTCCTGGCGGAAAATTCCTGCACGGTTCAAATTTCCAGTGCATGACTTTCCTTCTTTTACCTGAACCGTGTGCTCAACTAGCAAGAAGAGCGTACGCTTATATTAGCACAATTATTGTCACCGAGCCAATCAGCGCCTGCCTCCATCCGCCAGTCTTGAACGTGTGCCGTGGAACGTGCATTAATTACTCTTACGCGAGCTCCAAATGAATGCACAGGTGGAGTACGTAACTTATTGTATTTTTATATGTCATTATCATTAAAAATTATTGTTTTGATTCATGTGTAAAGTATCATTATTAAGGCTATTACTGATACCCCAATGAAGCACTCGTATTTTTCTCATGTTAACAAAAAATTAGTAGTCAGTAAGGCATGTTAATTGGAACCATGTTTAAATGACCTTCTTTAGCGCTGTTTCATATCGCGCTCCATTTACCAAGAGCGCATTCCCAGTGCTGTAAGAGGTATGCCTTGATAGTGTGGTATAAACAAAGCCAAAGACACACAATACAATTGCATATACACTAAATGAAGTTCACTACACAGGTACATAGACACAGGCAGACCTCACGTAGCACAAACTCATAGAACGTTGATTCGTAATAGCACTCTGTCCTGGAGAAAAGGTTTGCTAAAAAAAATTAAGAAAAAAATGTACAAGGTGCTGAGGAATGAAAACAAGCAGAACTGGCCGAGGAAATTCACCCACCACCATCATTTGCTCTGCTCATGAGAGTAACTTGCATCTCAGCCAACCAGACCCGACCCCTCGCGATTAGATTATCACGATTTGTGCTCACGATTTTTTGTTTTTTAAAGCCTCGATTCGTTTAGCCAGCTGAGAACTCACGAGGCCAGAATAGTCTCAGGCTCCACCTAAAAGAAACCTCACCACAGAAATTTAGGCTAAGGGTATCACTAAGATTACTAAGTTCCTTAAGTTCTTCTCTGAGTATGAACCGGATTGAAAGCTCAGCAGCTCCAACGTTCTTTCCCACTGCTGCCTTGTAGCTCATCTTATTTTAATTTATTTCACACCTTGACCAAGGCGTTGAACAAATAATGTACTATTTGTAGAGCAAAATAGTGTGATGAGATGAGTTGATGAGAAAGATGGTAGTACATGAATATGATGTATGAAATAAACGGTTATGAAAGTGACAATGAGTGAGTAATGTTGAGTGAGTATGATGAATGGGTAGTGAAATTTATCAGGCTCTCATAGGTCCATCGTTCTTTCTCTCCCCCTGCCGCCACGGGGTGGATTTCCACACATGCTAATTTATCTGCTCCAGCAGACCTACCTTTCTCTCTGCCCACCCCTCTCTCTCTCTATTTAAGGCCACGACACAGAGGCATTGGGTCTCTGTGTGTCTATGTTGTGTCTATCTCTGTGTGTCTCTGTGTTGTCTCTCTCTGCTTGTGTGTCTGTCTGTGTGTCTCCGTGTTTGTGTTTTGTCTCTCAAATTTAGTTCCACCTGATGACGACTGCTTGTGTTGCAATCAAAACTTTACCGAAAGAACCAAAGAGTAATTCCTGCAGTCAGGAAAGCTTCAAATCAAGGTAGAATGACTCCTTTTAGCATCAATTCGATTAGTGCTCACTTCTCCAGCAATGCATTTTGAGCGTGAAGAGAGGTCTGCCTGTATACAGACGCCTGCACAATAAATCAACCACCATTTAAGAGTTTGTAAACTATAATATCGCAACTTAAAGCTTTCGTGACTGCTGGAATTTATATTCTTTGGGTCTTTCGGTAAAGCCACGTAGATAGAGAAACAAGAAAAAAAATTTGTATTATTATTTTTCATTATTTTTCTATCTACGTGGCTTTACCGAAATACCCAAAGAATATAATATCGCACTTTGTCGGTACATATATATACTTGGGTTGCTGAACAGTTATCATAAACCAATAATTGTACTCGACTGTCATAGAATAGATAATCGAATGCAGTGCAATTTTAGTCATTACATCCCTGGCATGCTCGTTTAAAGCGTTCATTTAGTTACTGGACTGTATGTTCTGACAGACACATACAAACACACATACAGGACTGCGCATTTAATTATAGTATTGAACGACATTTTGACCATTGTCATTATCTGCCATTATCAATCCACTGCTGGATGAAGGTTTTCCCAAGCTACAACATCTACATCTCTTACAATCCTGCTATGTAATTATAGGACGTGTAATAACACCTGCCATGAGCCTGATTTAATTGCTCCATCTCCATAGTGGGCATCCTCTAGGCAGTGCTGGATTATCCTAGTAGCAAAAGTAGCATATGCTACGGGCCCCGCGCTAAATACTTTCAAGCGATCAACTCCGGTTCAGTGTTTCTGCACTTGCTTTATTACTATAGTACTATACTCAATGAAAAATGATAGGAGTTGTTAGTGAGTAAGGACTTGTCCCTTGCTTTTTAATAGACGCGTGTGCAGCGATGGCGCAGCCATTGATCGAGGGTCGAATTCGAACCGCGTTGTGTGATCGGCATCGCGCTCGCTGAAGGTGTTGATGCCTTCAGGGAAGTCGTGTACTGGATACGCAACTGCGCACAATTCTATGAGTCACTTATAACTGCTTTGCCGTTACTTATTGCCAATTATGGACTCTCATCTCATAGTCCCTGGCACGTAATAATATGCTACACAGTGGCAGTGGGGGTCGCAAAATGCCGATTTATTACTAATAAACCCCAATGACCCGATCGGATCATTGGGGGGGCACGTGCCACCCACCCCATGCCCCCCCCCCCCCCCCCCGACTGGCTCCGCCAGTGACTATACTGCCTTCAACTTTTATGAACGACTGGGTGTTTAAGGTTAGCGATTTGTCGTATTATCTGGCTGTCTAGCAAATGAAAAATACCATTACTTTACTATGCAAGTTAAAAATAAGTACTCTTTGGGTCTTTTGGTAAAGTCACGTAGATAGAAAAATAATTTAAAAAATCACGACGTTTCGATCGCAACACAAGCAATCGTCTTCAGGTGAAAAAATACAGCAGGCGGCCTGCTGAGGCAGGAAAAAATGTAACGGGAGAGCTACTGCAGCCAAAGGTTAGATAGGTTTGAGATGGGTACAACCCAAGGGTAAGTGGGCGGGACTAGAGATGGAATTTGCAAGTAAATGTAAGATCGCAGAGCTGGGCATACCTCCGCTAATCATGTCTGCATTAACCACAATACTTGTGGTCAGAATGCAAACAAAGATAAAGGAATTGTTATGTTTCACTGCATTGATGACAAGTCATAGCACATTATAGTATTGATTTGAAACTTTCATGACTGCAGGAATCCATACTCTTTGGATCTTTTGGTAAAGTAAAATAAATATAATATATATTCTTAGGTTTTTTCGGTAAAGTCACGTAGGTAAAACATCAAAATTAATAAAAATAAAATAAAATAAAGATCACGACGTTTCGGAGATAAATAAGACGTTTCGTGATCTTAATTTTATTTTATTTTTTATTAATTTTGATGTTTTACCTACGTGACTTTACCGAAAAAACCTAAGAATATGAATCCTTGCAGTCACGAAAGCTTCAAATCTAGAAATATAATATATAAAATAAAATAAATAACAATATAATAATATATAAAATAAAATCAATTTATACCTACGTGACTTTACCAAAAGAACCAAAGAGCATTATAGTATTGCTTAAGGGATTATATGTTGTCGTAAATAATTGACAACTGTTATTTTGCCAAGCCAGAAACTGGTATTTAGACGTGAAATGTACATTTTCTTTGGAAGTAAAATGTACTTAATTGACCACATTAAATGTATATTGTAATTATAATTATATGTGCATGTTTGGTGGTTTGAATTCATGTATATTTTAGAAAAACACATTTGAATAATTCCAGATTAAATATATACTGGGGAGCTGTAGAAGTTCATCCATCAACACTGTAAGCTGCCTTAATGACGACACTTTCTCACAGTCTGAGTATAGTTACAGCAAGCACTGCGTGTGCACTCTTGTGATGACACCTTCAAAGGGTTTGGACAAATAATATTTACAGCTGTAGTACCCAATGCTATAATAGATCCAGTGATTTTACAAAATGATATCACATAAAATAAATACAACATTATACAGAAACATAGATGAAACAGGTTTCAAGGCAAGACAGCCATAGATGTTTTACCTTGATCATTTGCCATTTTGTCAGGTGATTCAGCTTATGGATTACAAAGGAAGAGAAAGAAAGAGACATACATGACTATTAGGCACATCATCACAACGGAGTGTAATGCAGGAGGCATTTCATAAAAAAATAGCAGGACATGCCTATTGCTGCATCACTATAATATTCTCATATTCATTGCTACACTGCTGATGGGAATACATGTGCAATTATAGAACAATTTTTCAATGCCAGGATCTTGTAAGCTGGTATTTGAGGTCAGCCGCACGGACTACCCAAATAATTAACTAATTCATAAAGTCACATTCATAATTCTAGATTTGAAGCTTTCGTGACTGCAATGATTCATATTCTTAGGGTTTTTTCGGTAAAGTCACGTAGGTAAAACATTAAAATAGCTCTTGCAATCTCTCATTTACTTGATACAGCTGTCGTGGCTGTGACGGTTCCACCTGAAGACGGAAGCTTGTGTTGCCTCCGAAACGTCGTGATTTTTTTTTACTTTTATTAATTTTAATGTTTTACCTACGTGACTTCACATTCATAAATTAACAATAAAATTGACCGGAACACTGTTCAAACACTATATATGCTGCATGCAGTAGGACGGTGTGTGTGTGTATGTGTATTAACAATTCTAAAGCATGTGTTTCACTGTCGTAGGGAATTTGAACCCATGCACTTGAATGGCACGCTCATCCCACGTGCTCTTTTCAGAATTGTTCTTTGAAATTTATTTACACGTAAAACAGGACCCTTCAAACAAGTGAAAACCTTTACCTTGGGTTTAAAAATAAACCATCTTCCTCTGCAAGTGACTCGGATTACACTCTATATAGTGCTTGTAATATTTTAAGTGTTATTTATTTGTAAATATGACATTGCAAATAATTCATTATTTGTTTTTAAGTATTGGTTAACATGCTATTATTACATGTAAATGTAGTTAAACGTCGGTAATTATGCATTATTTTCAGTATGCGAGACATCCCCGTAACTGAAAATACTCTCATCCCCATAAGTTTTGCTTGAAGTGGTTTTCTGTATATAATGTGGTCAAAAGTGCAATGGATTTAAAATGGAAGACATGCCAATCACATGTTAAATCAAGGTCCAGCAAAACAAATTATGTACAAAAAAAAAATCCACAACTTAAATTTTACAAAAATAATTTTTTTACAAAAAATATAAATTGTAAGATTTTTTCAATATGATAGTTTAACATTAAGCTATGATTGGATTTGCTGTCATTTGTACGTGAAAAAACACTGCATGCTCACAAAGTAATTGTCTATCTCCATATTCAAAGTGGTGCTGGGTGATGCATGTCTCCTTTGGTGGTCCCGTGTTAGTGGTTGAAGAGCCACATTTCTACAACAGGAATAGGTCGATCCACAGAACACTCACTTTCTGATCACCCACAAAGTGATGCTCATATGATTAACTCCAGAGGGTTGAATGGATAACTCAACCAAAGATTTTTCGTTTGAACTCACGTAAAAATTGTGAAACATATTAAATGGTTGTGGGATTGACAACCGAAATATCCAACTTGGAGGCAGCTACAATCAATCGTCTTCTTCTTCTATATCTATCTATATATATAAAAGTAAAAAATTGTGTGTGGGTTTGTGTGTGGTCTCGCGCTTGGCTCTCCAACGGTGCGGTTTACGTAAAAAAAAAATAGCCAGGTGCCACGCCATAAGCCCCGCGGTCAGCAAGCGCTATTCCCTTTTCACATTCGTCAACTTTAAATTAGTTTAATTAGCGATTTAGTGCGATTTGTGTGCGCTTCCATTTTATTTATTTATGACGCGTGCACGACCATACTAACTCACGCGCCTTTGGTGGGGGGAACGGCCCATGCCAATTCGCACGCCTCCGGTGGGAGTGAGGGGGACATTTTATGTCGCGTTAAAAATGCTATAAAAATATACTAATGCGTGCAGTTACTAATATATACAGTCGCTAGATGCTACCACTATAGGCTGTGGATATTACTGCAGAGCGGCCGTGGAGATCGTGGCTGGGGGGGGGGGGTCAGGGGTAGCAGCCCCAGCCTGCCAAGGTGCCACCTCGGCTGGCTGGACAATCTAGGCGAGGCCTGAGGCTCTGCACAAGACGAGGCCTCACCACGCCACTCTGTCAGGTGAGTACTTTGTGCTATACAGTTGATAAACACTGATATAGAGTCAGCATGTACTACTGTCGTGATAGCAGGTACCACCACAGTCGGTATGCACTGCTGTAATCATAGCAGGTACCACCACATGGGTCTAGGCCTCACCACGCCACTCTTGTCAGGTGAGTACTTTGTCCTATAGAGTCGATAAATACTGTTATAGAGTCAGCATATACTACTACTGTAGTGATAGCAAGTACCACCACAGTCAGTATGCACTGCTGTTATCATAGCAGGTACCACCACAGTCAGTATGCACTGCTGTAATCATAGCAGGTACCACCACAGTATGTACTGCTGTAATCATAGCAGGTACCACCACAGTATGTACTGCTGTAATCATAGCAGGTACCACCATAGTCAGTACGCACTGCTGTTAGATTTTTAAGAGTAGTTTTGATATATTTTTAAGACCCGGGCATCGCCGGGTACTTCCCGCTAGTATATACTACTGCACAGTTATGCTGACAAATTTGAGTCCAAACCGTAACCTAGATTGCATCGGCTCGACAACATGTATGGTGGTTGTGCCACTAGTATTCTTTGCAATTTCTTGTGTACGCCACCACTAGAAAAAGAGCCAGCACAAGAGGAAGCTCTAGAGATCCCCTCTAAACGGTATTTTGGCCTACGCTGCCCAGATGTGTTGGATTAGGCGAAAGCACCTAGCTTCATCCTACTACATGCGAGCTGAATAACTGTGGTGCACATTCATTGACACTTCTGGGTTGACAAGAGGCAGGGAGATTGAAGAGACTCGTTCATTGTTTCAACTACATCCCATTGAGATCGAACTGCCAACCTCTGAATTCTAACCATTACACCACAGCATCATCCCTGACTAAATATAACAGAGGGCTCCTTATAAACATTTATTTTGTTTCAGTGGCTATTGGACATCATATACTTTGGTGCTATAAGTGATTACATTGTTTTCGATGGATAATTGCTAATATGAATATTTGAACAATTCTGGAGGTCAAGTTCCAATAAATTTTGAGATATTAAATGGAATCTTCATTGAATTAAATAAACTTTCAAAACTATGATAAATTATAACTTTTCTTGTACATGACATAGCAATACAATTATACTTTTTCTGCATGTTATGAAACTTGTATGTTAACATTTAAGATTTGGGGTAAATGTAGTTTTCAAACCTTAGTCTTAACTAAATGATAACTCTTATCCAAATCTCTGTGGGGTCAATGAAAACTCCGATTGTTCATGGCTCTATTCTTCCTATTATCTGCGACAATTTCCATAAGTCTATGCGGAATGTTATCCTGTTATCCACAAAAAAAATCCATGGATAAGGAGATGCATGGCAAATACATCCGATTATCTGCAGGTTATCCACAAATCTTTTTATTTAAAAAACGCGTTGTTATAAAAGTGCATGGACAGCACTTTCTTGATCACACTGACAACACAGACATGAATACCCTCAGATAGAGACACACAGAGAGAAACAAGGAAACAGAGAAAGGCACACACACATTTCGATTTAAAGCTTTCGTGAATGCAGGGATTCATCTTCTTGGTTCTTTCGGTAAAGTCACGTAGAAGGGATGTAATAAAATAATAAAAATATTATGTTTTATTTTTATTATTTTATTACTTCCCTTCTACGTGACTTTACCGAAATAACCAAGAAGATGCACATATTGAGACACACACAGATATACAAATACAAACATCCCCCGCATAGCCTTAACAGACTGTAGGGGTAAGTGCTGCTGTTAGCGAGCTCCTATGAAGGCCGCCACGGCACACGAGGGGGTGGGCGGCCAGCACCACGCCCGACCGCCTTTGTCTCCTCACTGGCGATGTTTACACACAACACCAGGTACTCGTTTGAGGCCGACTTGACCTAAGGGAGGCCAAGGACCGGATCAAATATTCGTCACTGGTGTTGGCCGTAAGCGGGAATCAAACTCGGGTCACCGGATTCGCAGCGCAGCGCGCTAACCGCTACACTACCGCTCCCCCCACAGATATACCGATACACATACAAATATATGAAGACACAGACAGGGAGACACAGAGACATGAAGAAACATGTAAATACATAGATACACAGGAGTTGTTTTGCAGGGAACACTACTCGTGGCCAGAAGAGCCATTTCCCCCTGAAGATTAGCCAATTAATAATATTAGATAGCACTAAATTCCTGAAATATTGTATAAATGCTAACATACCAATAATAATGGATGTAAAGATGACTAGATGCATCGTATCACGAGGAGGCATGCAAGTATTTACAAATAAACCATAGAATATATTCCAGTTAACTGATCTAAAGTTTAAGCTAATACACAGATTAAATGGCATTGAGAAAACAAGTTTATGATTGGGTGATTGTCGCGTGATCACACAGTTATCAGAAGTTATGGACACTTTAAACAATGAGAACCCATGTGTGGACCATTACAATAAAAGTGTTTTAAAAACAACAGTTTTATTAACAACTTCGTTCAACTCACGGTCGAGAAGTACGTCAATTATGCGGTGCCTGTTCCCACATGAACGCTTACTTTAATTAATAGTTTACTTTATAAATGAATCTTCAATGTACAACTTTTGCTTGTGTGGAGTGGGGGTGCTCGTAACTCGCTGACACGGAGCGTCGCGCCTGAGACGACACGTGGCGCCTGAGACGACACGTGGCGCCTGCTTCTTGGGCGTGGCGATTCGAGAGTTTAGGGACCGTGGCGTTTTTTACCGACACAATTACAAAATGTAAATTGCTTTACAGTGGCGAATTAATTGATGAATTGATGCCGATTTTGATACAGGCATGCATTGTCACGGGATCTGAGTTCGTGTGCAAAATTTGGAATTGATTGT